TATTCAGGTCTTAATGATATTACTGATTTTTTATCAGTTACTGCTTGTGTTATCTGTTACTTGTTTCATCAGTTATTGAGAGAGAATTGTTGAATTTTACAACAGTAATTATGAACTTCTCTTTTCAGTTTAGTTGATGCACACATGCTTATGATTATTATATCTTCTTGATCAACTGGCCCTTTTGTCTTCATGAAATAGCTTTCTTTTTTCTGGTAATATCTTTTTCCTGGAGCTTACCTGTCTTGTATTTATAAAGATTTCAGTCTTCTTTTTTTCTTTTCTTTTCTTTCAATGTAACAAAAGTAGGTATTAATAAAGAAAATATTAAAAAACACTTCTATGAAAATATAAAACAAAATGTCATAACAAAATAGAGAATAAAAATCGTTAGTATACTATGTATCATGATCTTAAAAGAATGGCAAAATGTTACTCAGAATACAAGTGATAGACAAAAAAGTGTCTCTCTAACAAAGAAGAAACAAACAAAAAGACAAAACTTTCTTTTAAATGAACAAAAAGAAACTAGTAGCCTGATGTAGGTTTTTCTGTTTATTACTTATCTGTTTATATTTCAAATGCTTTTCATAAGTAGCATATAACTAAGTCATGCTTTTTGATAAATTTAAACTTATTAGACAATCTCTGTCTTTTAGACCATTTCCATGTAATATACTTATTGTTTAGACATTTTGCATTTAATGTAATTATTGATATGATTGGGTTTCAGTCTTTGACTTTGTACTTGCTTTATATTTGTTACAGCTAGTTTTTATTTCTTTTTTATATCTTTCCTTCTTTTGGAATAATTTTTAGTGTCCAATTTTATGTTTGTATTGGATTAACTTTTCCTTTTTAAAAAATTGCTCTAAGGCTTACAAAATATACCTTTAACTTTGTAGTCTACCTTCAAGTAATATTATACCAATCAATATACTAATGTACTAATTCTATGTATTTTCACAGTCTCCATCATCCTTTTTTATTTATTTTATTAAATTTTTTTTTTGTGGTACCAGGGATTGAACTCAGGACCTTGTGCTTGTGAGGCAGGTGCTGTGCCACTGAGCTAAATACCTGGCCCTCATTTTTAAAGTTTTGAAACAGGGCCTCACTACATAGTTCAGGCTGGCCTTGAACTCACTATGTAGCCAAGGCTGGCCTTAAAGTTGTGGCAGTCCTCCTGCCTCAGCCTCCTAAGTGCTGGTATTATAGGCATGTGCTACCAGGTCTGACCTTCCTTTTTATTCTTGTTATCAAACATTATACACACAGATAATTAGCCTCATAATACATTGCTATTATTTTTATTTTCAATATTTAATCATCTTTTAATAACATGTTAATATGAGTAAAAATATCTTTTGTAATTATTTACTATATTTGCCATGTCTCACACTCTTTATGCCTTTGTGTTGGCCCAGGCTTCTATATAGTATCATTTACTTTCAGGTTGAAGCACTTCTTTTACAATTTCTTGTAGCAGAGCCCAGCTGGCAATTAATTCTATTATCTAGTGTTTGTCTTCAAATAACTTTTATTTAATATTCATTTATGAAGGATATTTTCACTGGGTATAGAATTCTAGGTTGACAGTTTTTTTCTTTCAGCCTGTTAAAGATGTCGTTCCATTGTCTTCTGGCTTGCATTGTTTCTGACAAGAAATCAACGATCATTCTTATCTTTGTTCCCCTGTAAGTAATGTGTCTTTTTTTTTTTTTTTTTTTTGGTTTTGTTTTGTTTCCTGGCTGCTTTTAGATTTTCTCTTTACTGTTGCTTTTCATCAATTTGATTCTAACGAGTTTTGGTGTGATTTTTCTTGCTTTTATCTTCCCTATGACTCATTGAGCTTTTTGGATCTGTGGGTTCATAGTTTCAATCAATGTTGAATGAATTTGGCCAGTATTTCTTCAAATATATTCCCCTTGTGATCCTTTTGTGCTTTTAATCAGATATATTTTATACTTCCTGAAAATTTCCCGCAGCTCATTGAAGCTCTGTTTTTCTTTCAGTACTTCACTTTGAGTTATTCCTATTAAGTCTCCTAAGTGCCTGATCATTTCTTTTGCATTATTTAATAGCTATTTAGCCTATTCAGTGAATTTTTCATTTCAGATATTGCATTTTTTTATTTTTAGAAATTTCATTTTTTAAATTTTATCTTTCATATTTGTCCTCATGTTCATAATCATGTTTTCCTTCGAATATGTTCATAGTAGCTATTTTTTAGTTATTGTTTGCTAACTGCTTCATCTGCATAATTTCTGGGTATGTTTTGTCAATTTTCTTCCTGTTTCTGAGTAGCATTTTCTTACCTTTCCAAATATCATATGATATTTGGCTGGATGCTGGATTTTATGAGTATTACATTGTTGAATATCTGGACTTTTTCCCATTAAAATACATTAGAGTTTATTTTATTTGTTGGTTTTCCATTAAAGTGTGTTGGAATTTCTAGTTGATCAGCTTGACCTTTCCAAGGCTTGTTCTTAATTTTGTCAAGATAAATCTAGGGTGGCTTGCCTCTGTTAATTTAGTTCTGTTTCTAAGATATAACACTCCTTGTGTCTCTGTTGTATGCCTCAGGTGTCAAATGAGTTTCTATCATTCTGGCTGGCTAGACCTTGAATATCTCCTAGCCATGTATGGGTACTTGGAATTGTTTAGCTTATAGGTCCCCTATAGTTGTTCTTTATCCTTCCTCATGAGTTTTACCTTACATACGTTTAGCATATTATAAAGCCAAAGACTCAAAGTTAATCCTACTTCTACTTTCTTGGTACTCTACCTAGCAAATTCCAGCTATCTTGCATCTTTTATCTCAACTTTTCTCCTCTCAACTCAACAAAACTACCCTACTCTGCTTATCTTTTGCTTTCTTGGATCAGGGTGAAGGTACTTTTACAAAGAAAACTAGGGTGATTGTGGGGCTTACTACATTATTTCTCTTCTGTCAAAAAACACTAACCTACACTATTTGTAGTTCAATTTTTCTAAACAGCTGTTTCATATATTTTTTTCAGTTTTCTAGTTACTTATGGTAGGAAGGCAAGTCTGATAACAATTGCGCCATCATAATTGGAAGAAGAATTAGTGTATGTCATGTTTTTGTGCTCTCTTTTGTTATTTTATTTGAATGGAGTTCTATCATGACTATATTGCCATGCAATAAGGTATGTAGATTGTCTTTATATAAGAACCAATTTTAGTACTTTTCCCAATTACAAATTGTATTCTGTCCTCAGAGATTTTTTTATACAGTACATCTAACATCTAGACATATTACAAAACCTTGACAAGTGATTTTTGACACACAACAGAAGTTAAGAATTACTGTCCTAGTAAGCTTAAATCTAGTGTGGATTTGATAACTTAAGCAGAGCATCCCACAACCTGTTCTTATCTCAGTGACACATGGTAGTAGTGCAACAAGAAGTGAGAGGAATTAGACCTATGTATTCCCACTAGTCACACAGAAAGCATTAATTTCTGGCAGAGCAGAAGTCTTTAGAGCACTGATCTAGTGCTATGGCACTGATTGTTTGCACTTGTGCCACAACAGTTGTTATGTATTTTGGATATTACTTATATCAAAGACTTACTAATTTTTATAAAACAGTCTGCAAACATTCTCATAATATACTGATTCAGAAATGGTTAGCTGGTTTCATCCTTTGTGCCAACTCTATTTAGATCAATGATGGCTGCTCAGAGCTTTCTTCAGACCAGTTATAAACTCAGCAAGAAGGGATGCTATAATGGATTAGTTTTGTTTGTCATGAGCTTGGGACTGGAGGAATATGTGCCATATTCCATATATTTGGAATTCACGTACAGGTTAAAAGGCAGTTTTTTTTCTCTTTAAGTATCTCTTTGTGCACAAGAAAAACTATTGCTTCTCTTTGTAGTCATCTTGACTTTAAAATATATGGGAAACAAACTTGAGAGTTATGCAATGTGTATATTTACATTATTTCTTCATTCATCCATTCATTTACTCATTCCTTTTTTTCCTCTAGAAATATAATCAATATTAGAGTAGTGGTCTCTGATCTGTACTTGTTTTCTTTTTATATAAATTGATTTGTTGCCCTGGAAAATTAGAGTATGATAGTTTAGAAAGATGTGTTACTTTAAAGTATATAAACCTACTAGCTTTTTAAAAACAATGGAGTACTGTTAGTTAAGTACATTGCACAACATAATAGTCTAGAGGATGATAATTACCAGTTGTGATTTTAACTCTGGTTTATTCCAGGTCACTTGGTTTTTTCCTTATTATACTATCTGTATACTGAGTTAAAGAGTTGGCTAATAGTTATCAGCAAACTAGCAGAGGTTTAGTATTTGGGTTACATGTGTGAGAAGTTTCATTTGGGCAAGAAACTCATCTTTCCAATGGCAGGGGTGGAGTGGGAAATGGAATATTGGAGAATGCCTTTCCACTTATTTCAGTTATTATAAATTTGAAATGCTTCCTGATACCAAAAATATAGGATGATTAACATAATATACTACAGTGAAAAGAGCAGAATACCAGAAACTAAGAGATATAGGTTCTAGTCCCAAGTTTCCCAAGTTGTATTTAATAATTCTGTGTCCATATCAAGCTTCACAACCTTTTAAACTTTAACTTTGTTTTGTATGCAATGAGAGTAATACTCCACTGTATCTACCCCACAGAGTTTTTGAGGAATGAAGTGAAAATATAGTCATAAAAATCTTCAATAACTTATTAGTGTTATAGTATTGTGAGGTAATATGGTACTACATATGCCATCATATACTGGCTTTCTTTCCCTTGGAAAATGCTGAAGTTATGATACCTTTGCCTGATTTTAAAACCTTTTATAGATTATAAAAGACATTTATGTTAGGAAATCAATAATGATGATTCTATTTAGGTAAAAAGAAAATAGTGAAGTGTCTGCTGTGTTTTCACCAGGGCATGAATAATTTCAGTGAGAAGTATTCATTAGCTCTATTTTGCTTTACAGCTTGGAATCCCATCCACTGCCAACACATTGAATGCCACAACGCAATTAACAAGCCAGCTGTGAAGGTACTGTTTTATTAGACCTAGTGGCATGTTGTATTTTCAGTGGTTAAATTATTAGGAGAAAATTGCTGATTAGAGTGTAATAAATTGCATGCTTCTCTGTAAAGCAGAGGCTTTTGATCTGTAGTAATCTCAAGCACTTCTATGTTCAGTCTGACTGTACTTAGAGAGGAATAAATAGTGGTGTGTACAAGTTTTACCTGATGAGTTCATAGCCAAGTGATGTATAGTAGTGAGCTAATTGTCAAAAGAGTCTCAGTGGAACACTTACATAGTCCTTAATTGGCTTCTATTTGAGCCAGTTAATTAAATTAAAATGTATTTTTCCTGTTTTCATCTGTACACTTCAAATTAAGACTGCCTAGTATGTGACAGTGCATGCTCAAGAAATGTAGGACAAAATTGGAAAATCAATAATCAAGTCAGAGATGTGACTTAGTTGGAAAGAATGAGAAGTGTTTGGACAGCATACACACAGAAGGCTAAATTGGAGATAAGGAAACAGTGGCTTAGAGAGATTAAATCCTATGCTCCAGTGGTGGAATCAGTTAGCACAAGGTACTTATACAGAAAGGTCAAGTCACGCTGCTAAGGTCACACAGACGATATCAGAATAAGGCAACAGAATGAGGTAATTTGACTCTTAGCCTCATTTTTTTTTTCCACATCATATTCTTCCAGTCCCATTAAAACCCAAAATCTCAGATTGCTTATGATATATTTGTTGGTTTGACTGGTTGGACCAGTGCCTGGATTTGCGAGAGTTAAATTTCATATTATGAAGTGTTTATTAGAGTTCATAGTTACTTTTAAGAACTTAGTGCCATGAGAGTTTGCTTATGTTATTCTAAAGCTACATAGACTGTCCAGATGGCCAAATGATAGAAAATTAATACCACCATGGTACAGAAACAAAGCAGGTAAAATGAGATCCTATAAATATAAAAGAAACAAAAGAATGCATTTCATAAACCAAAGTGGCAACAGGGGGCCAGTAATGATATTGTCGTCTAGATATATCATACTAACAACAATGGGGATTTTTGTATCTCTCTCTGTCTTTGATGAATGCAAATTGAATGAATGTTGAGAAAGAGCAGATGAGGATAACCTGCCAATGAAAGCATGAGCCTCTCCCATTCTACGATGTGCACCCCTCTCTTGAACTTAAGAGACATTTAGGACGCAAAGACACTTTGGTTTGGTGTGAGGATTTTTTTTTCTGAAATTCTTTTATTGGTACATTTTAGGCATACAACACAATTAACGTTTCTCATTGGGAACTTGTACCTTTACATGATGCATCTTGGTTCTTATTTCTTCTCCATTCCTAGCCCTCCCTTCACCCCCCCTCACCCTTCCCTATTTACAAAGACTTTTTATTTCCATTTTTTCCATTTCTCATCATTTTTCCTTTCCCTTCTTTCCTTTCCCCTGCCCCTCCCACTACCCCTACCCCTTTGGACCTTTTCTTCCTATTTTGCATTATCAATTATTCATTTTAATCATTGGTACATTTTAGGTATACAATATAATGACATTCATCATTGGAAACTTGCACCTTTACATAATCTCTCTTGGTTCCCATCTTTCACCCGGTGTGAGGATATTTTGAGTTGATCATACGTAGGACCAGATATTACCCACGGAGTTCAGCTTGATTCTTAGTGTTTGCACAGCTCTCTCTTACTTTGGTTTCTATATCCTTTCTTTTTTCTTCCTTGATTTTATGTCAGACTGCTTTCCCATGAGTCCTCTAACATCCTGGTTAGTAATTGCTTTCTGGCCTTCCAATCATAGAAATCATCGGGAATTATATTTTCTCTTTTTCTAGGTAAATAGCCCCGTCCATTGTTCTGGGTTGGCCTTACTTTTCAGCTGAAAGCACTCTAGGCCAAAGCATCCTAGTTTCTGTCATTTTTTAAAAAAAATTGAGCTTGAATTCATATAATATGAAATTAACTATTTTATTTTATTTTTTAGTGTGCAAATATGACTTTATTTATATAAATCTCTACAAAATGTATTTTAAAATCCATCCACATAGGTGAGGCAAGAAACATTAGAGGACTGAGAACACTTTAACAAATCAACTTTTTTTTTTTTGGTCATAAATTTATGCTAATGAGAATTTCCAGGGGACCTCCTACTGTCTTTTCAAAGAAAAATTTGAGTGTAAAAGAACAGGTACAAGTTCGAGATCAGTAAGAGATCAGTAACAATTTCTCATTTATTCCAGTATCTTCAAAAATAAAGCTTTGTAGCATATGGTTGATTAATAGATTTCTGGTTTTTATTTTCATGATGTTTAAATGAAATTAAAACAAATGTAAGAAAACCTTCTCTGAACCATAGCCTGTGATTTTTACATCTTGGTTCCCAGTAAGGACAGGTGCTGGTACAGTTAGGCCTATTATGAGAAATCTTTCACAATGTAATACTTACAAGTTATTTTGGGGTTTCCTGAAATTGCAAGGCCTTATGTCAGTTTCAAAATATCCTAAATTCTACCCACTGTTGTAAAATGCCCTCTTCTGATAAATTACACTTTTAAAGTGAACAATTTAGTGGCATTTAGTACATTCACAATGTTTGCAAGAATCATATTTACGTAATTCTAAGACATTTTTCATCACCTCCAAAATCTTACTTAATCATCTCCCATTTTCCTGAAGCTCACAGACAAGTCTGGTCTGTTGTCTGTTTTTATGAATAAAGTTTATTGGAACACAGCTATGTTCATTTACTTTTATACTGTCTATGACTCCTTTCATGCTATATCAGCAGAGTTGAGCAATTGTGACAGAGACTGTTTGCCCTCAAAACCTCAAATATTTACTCTTTGATCAGTTTTTAGAAAAAAATATGCCAGTCTCTGGCTTAACATACCAAAAGTAGCTATTCATGTCATTTGAAGAAGTATGAAACTTATGTAAGAGTGATTTTCACCCTGGACTTTTAACATCAGGGAATACACAATTTATAAATTATGATGGTTTAATTATTTAAATTTAGCAATTCTGTTATTTCTTCAAGCACTGAAATTACCCAGGATTTTAACTTTGCATTACAGGCTGTTTGGGTTGTAAATTTGGGTCATTTTCCCCCCTTCAAATTAGTGAAAGCAACTAAAGATAGAGTAAAGTTCCAGAAGATGTTTTTACTTGGGATATTTATTGCACAGTTAGCTATAACACAGGTTGATTATTCTTTGAAAAGCAGGGACCTTGATAAATTATAGAAATTTAGGGCCAGGGATTTAGCTCAGTGGTTTCACTGCCTGCTGCGCAAGCGCAAGGACCCAAGTTCGATCCCCGGTACCAAAAAAACCCACCCCAAAACAAAAACAAAACAAAACAAAAAATTATAGAAATTTAAACGTATGCGAAGCAAAAAATGCAGCTAGTTATCTGAATGTTTTGTTTCACTTGATGTAAGACATCCAGATACTTGATATCTTCTGATGGTCAACTATGAAATGAACACTTTATCTCCATGCTTAGGCTAGCAAAACCCTGGCCATAAACAGCAAAACATCATGGGTAAACAAATTGTAGGTCATATGTAGGAAAAAAAAAACAAGAGATGAAAATAAAACATGGGATGATTGATAAAAATCTAGAATTCCAGAGTAAGAAAAGCAAACCACTCAATGTTAGATTTAATGCTGCCTTTTCTGAATAAGATGTATCCTAGGAAGCTAAATTTTCTGCTGTGAGCATATTGATATCATTTATGATTTTGAAATCTTAATAATACATCTTCCTTTTCCCAAAGAGGGATTACCATGTTCACCACCCACATAGGCAATTTGAGTAGCCATTGAACAAAATCATTTTTTATCTTTGTGGAATTAGAGTGGATTTCCTGACACTTGAGTGGCAAATAATAGGAGAAATGAAAAACCACCCAAACCACATATTAAATCCTCAGCGTGGACTCATCTACCAGTATAGTCCAAGCAGTTACAGATCAAATGGGTTTGAATAAAAATATTTGTTTCACTTTGCTTTTGAAAATCTGTCATCATTGAAGCATTTGTCCTCATGATACAGGGAATGTAGTACACAGGAACAGCAGTGTTCATTATGTCTTTTCATTTGTTTCAGATGTGTATAGACCCTTCCTTGTCAGTAGCTTTGGGTGACAAACCACCCCCACTGTATCTCTGTGAAGAATGCAGCGAGAGGATTGCAGGGTAAGTATAAGAGTCCTTTAAGAAAAGGAAATAGAGCAACAATGAGAAAATAAGGACTATCCTTTGGACTTCCATTGGTTACATTATCCAAATTTTCCATTAGCCTTGCTGTGTTTTTTAAAAAGTTATTTTGTCTGATATTTAACATACAGCAAGCTTTCATTTGGAAGATTGCAACGTTTGAAATGTTTGAAAATTGCAATGTTTCTCTCTATGTAACATGAGAAAGCAATTCCACTTAACAGAGCAGCTCCAGTGTTGAAGTAACCCATTAAAAAGGCCACAGAGAAAGATAGGTGTATTTAAAAAAATCTATGGTTTCCAAACATGACATATAATTCAAATGGGTTTTCTTTGCTTGTCAGTTTCATAGTTACACTCAACTTTGTGCAGATCATGCAGTATTTTGGCTGGCATAATAAGCATCTGGAAAATATCATTTAAAGATAACAATATGATGAAATGCCTATAATTTATAATTTAGCTGGAATGCATTAGACATTTAAAAAGTTTATTATGATAGTGCTCTTAATTATATTTCCTTTCTATTAAAAGCTTTTCATCAATAGTGTGCAGCTTATAAACATTTATGTGGAGGGGGAACATTTCAGTGAAGCTCAAAAATGAATTTTATTTTTCTTTGCAGGGACCACAGTGAGTGGTTGATTGATGTTCTTCTGCCACAAGGTATGGTTTACTTCAGAAAGGATGAATAATGAGCAATCATGACTAATGACATGGTTGATTTATCTTCTTTTGTGCTATTTTATTTTTAAAAAGATACAACTCCCTGAATATTCATTGACCTGAAGCTCTAATGTCAATATCTTGCTTATAATATACCCAAACACTTAATAATGAGGGAAGAGGTATCAACTGTACCAAAATTAAGGTTACATTTTGCAGTTAGAATTTTGTGTGACTAAAGCCCTGTTGAACCATGTCTAAAGGGATTTTCTATTTGTATAATAGATATTGCCAGTGATATGTCAGGCTGTGCCAGGTCAGAAAGGGAATAAGGGCACCAGAAGAAAGAGAATTGGATAATGGACCCTTTTCCTGTCACTGTTATCAACTCCATGTTTGGGGGAGAATCCTTTAGTTGCTCTGAAACTGAGTCTCCTGATCAGTAAAATGGAGATAAGGTATATCTAGCCCATTTTAATGCAAAAACAAGATTTGCAATGCTTCTTCAGGCTGTGTCTTGAAAGTTAGCTGGTCTCAGACAGAGCATTCCTTTGCTCCTGAGAAAAACAGATGTTCTGTCCACCTTGTTAGTAGCTGAAATGACAAAGAAAAGTACTTAAAAAGCAGAAGCCCATGCCTGTAATTTCAGCACTCCCTGGAGGCTGAGGCAGGAGGATGCAAGTTCTAAAGTTCAAGCCCAAATTGGGCAACTTAGTGAGACCCTGTCTCAAAATAAAATATAAGCTAAAAAGGCCTGGGAATGTAGCTCAGTACAGAGGCTCTGGGTTCAATCCCCAGTACTGAAAAAGAGGAAAGCAGAGGAAATGACTGTGGAAATAGCTGAGCACATAGTGAGTACAGACCAGGGATACAGGAAAAACTTGATATTTGACTTTAGGTATATATAATAAAAATGATTTATATGAAAGGCCCCTTTAAAAAGAAATATTAAAACCTTATGTTAACTAAATTCTGTAAATACTTTCTTTTTAAATTTAAGGCTCTTGGTCAATGATTACCTTTGCTCAATGATTATTATATTTCTTCTTTGCAATCTTTTAATATTAGGCCACCTCAACTTTAAGAGAGAAATTAATTCAATGATTTATTGCCCATTAATTGTACAAAATCAGTTTTTATGACTGAGTTATAAATTTCACTGATTTGGCATCCACTAATTCATAATTCCAGACAGGATTTTGGAGCATTTACCTTTAATCTCTTAAATAAACCGTTACATGGACCATCCCATAAATAAGATATTAGTCATTTTTAAGCTCTATTTTGAGGAAAGTGTTAATAGATTCTTGGAAAAATTATTTTCAGGTAATCCATAGCATCAGTTTCCATGGAAATAATTGCTATGCTCACTAAAAAGAATTCTTATGCATTTATTAAAGTCAATCTTGTAAGTAAGTAGACAGTAGTTTGATTGTTTTGCTCCATTTGGTTGGTCCATGGGTTTGAGAATTGCTTTCTCTTAAGTGACCATATAGTTGATTTTACATTAGTTAAGACTGATACAAATTGATAGCTCAAATATAAGGAGACCAAGTTAGTAGGAATTTTTCCCCGATGGTTTGCTATAGCAGAACATCCCACAGTGATGGTCTAAATATATCACATCAAACCAGTTAATCTCATTAAATAAAAAACGGAAATCACTATCAGGTGAGGAAGAGGTATTTTATGTTTTTGGAGAAAAATAGAAGCTAATAAAAGTCGATGACAAATTATGAGACAAACCAAAAGCTATTTTTGCCAAATCCATAGATTGTGTTATTAAGATTGTTTTTATTCTTCTTCATGGCTGCCCTTATTTAAAATGGGCTCTTTCTTTGTTGATATTCTGTGTACCTTCCCCTTACAGCTGAAATATCTGCCATATGTCAGAAAAAGGTAAGAGCAAATCATCTGTGTGGTGCTGCATGATTTGCTGTGATTGTATGTAAATTCATTCATTGACATCTGCCTCATTCCTGCACCATGGTTACCCAGTAGGTACATGTCACTGTATTTGTGAAGAGAGAAAGGAAGTGAGTTAGCATGCAAAATTGTGATGTCCAAATGTTCTCTTTTTCTATTTCCATTTCTGCTTTTGCTCACTTGCCTTATGCACATCGTTTTTGTTATGTAATCTGAAATAAAAATGTGTAATTCTGGGATAGGAGTCTCATTATAAAAAGGGTTGATTGATAATGCAATGCATGGAATTTAACTTTAATAAATGATTATTTTATATACTAAAAATCTTTATTGCTTTAAAATGTAGTATAAGGGCTGGGGTTGTAGCTCAGTGGCGTAGCACCTGCCTGGCAAGTGTGAGGCCCTGAGTTTGATTCATGGTACTAAAAAAGAAAAGAAAGACAATGATTATTGGGCCAGGGATTTAGCTCAGTGGCTCCGTGCCTGCCTGACAAGTGCAAGGTCCTGAGTTTGGTTTCTGGTAGCAAGAAAAAATAATGTAGTATAAATAGTGTAATATATATGTGAGAAAATATAACATGATTACATATATATGGAAATTTTTTATTTATATAAGTTAAATAATATATCTAGCAAAAGATTTTTCCTTTAAAATTTCCCCTAACTGCTTTTCACGGAGTTTCTCTAAGTCATTTCCATTTTCTCTTTCTGGTTTTTGTAGTTGGAAAGTATGAGAAGATAGTACAGTGTCCTACAGCTTTGACTCATTGAAATCCTTGGGTTCTGGCAAACTCCATTTCCTTTTACCTATGTGAACCTTATACAAATCACTTAAATTTTGGGGGATATGAATAATGAGTAGGTACTTTTGGAGGCCTATCTCAGTTATTTATTGTTGCATAAAAAACCACTCTAGAAAGTAGCAGCTAAAAACAACCAATTGACCACAATTCTGTGGATTAGTGATTTTCCCTATGCTCAGCAAGGCAGTTCTTTTTTTTTTTTTTCCATTAAGTTTATTGGTACATTTTAGGTATACAATACAGTTACATTCATCATTGGGATCTTGTACCTTGCATGATGTATCTTGGTTCTTGTTTTTTTCCCCATTCCCCTGCCCTCCCTTTACCCCCTTCACCCTTCCCTATTTACAAAGACTTTGTTTCCATTTTTTTCCTTTTCTCATTTTTTCTTTTCCCTTCTTTCCTTTTCCCTACCCCTCCCACTTCCCCTACTGCTTCAGACCTTTCCTTCCTATTACACAATATTAATTATATATTTTAATTGCAATATCAAGATTTAGAGGACATTACCACAGATTTTACAGAATTTAAAAGGATATAGAAAGAATATTACAAAAATCTTTTTTGAAATAAATTTGA